ATTCCTATTCTTAAAATAACTGCTTTTTTAGAAACAAACCACCTAAAATATACGTGATTGATGAATTGGCGGAACAACATGGGCACAAAGTTCTTCGTCTGCCTCCTTACCATTGTATATTTAACCCTATTGAGTTAATTTGGGGCATAGCAAAAGGTTACTATAACAGACATATTGGTAGAGATGGTAACAGTGAAAAAGACTGTTTGGATATGTGGAACGAGGCTCTACAAACGGTTACCCCAGACATGTGGAAAAATAGTGTTCGACATACTGAGCAAGAAATTTTTAAATGGTATGAAAGAGAACGAATTTTTGATCGACCAGACATCGAACCTTTAATAATCAACTTTGAGGGTGATGAAGATTCAGATTCAGACAGCGCTGAAGAAGGAAACTCCGACTAACTTTATTGTACAGAAAAAGCTTACACCAGTAGCTTACCTAATTTTAGAATGCATTTTTCTGTATGAATTCTGTAAAATAAATACCATGCATAAAATTTGGAGGACCCCATTTGGATTTTTATTCAGTACCTTTAAGCTATCAATTAAATATGGTAGTTTCATAGTGTCATCTGATCAATAATTGCCATACTTAATGATTATGCAAGTACAGATCTATAATTTTATTATACTATTATTTTTGTTCTCATTTGAGGTTAATATTGCTTATAAACCTAGATATGTAAATAATAAATTTTATTATTTTACAAAAAGTTTGGCAACAATGTAAATTTTTCAACACACCCACCTTGATGACGTGCACGCCACTTTGTTTGGCGTTGACTATATTGTTGTTGCCTGAACACCAAAATGCTGGCTTAATGTTATGTGGAAAGCAAATTTGCTTCCTGCAGCATATTTGCTCTAAAATGAGGTGTTTAAAATATTCTCATAGCATAGTTATACAACGCCTTATAGGACAAATTTTGAACGGTTGCATACACGTTTATACAACTATTTTATAAGGTATATTTGCGCGGTAGTGAACATAGTTGTGTTGTGGCATCCATGGTAACGTTTATACAACAAACCCGAGCCTTGTTGTTTTATTGTGCACATTTACTACTTTAGCCAACAAATTTCACCCAGCGGAAGCACTTATACAACTGTCGTTAAAGGCTGTACATCTGCAACAATATTACAACTTAAATAGTACAAAATTGCTGTGCTCGGCAGACATTTGTTGCTAAATATGCTGGTATACAACTTCACCATAACCTAACTTTCTGCTGTCATATTTTTAGTTAAAATGCCATAACCAATATTTTAAGACATGCATATTGGTTTAAAAGGTTTTATCAACTGTTCAAACAGGAGATACAGATCTGGTAGAAATTCTGGGTAAATCATTCGACTCTGTCCGTATTTAATTTGAGATTTGTCAAATTGTTGTATAACACTTGTAGACAACACCAAAATATTATAATAAACCAAAGACAACATGTACGATGCCATGATTATACATAACCACCCGCCATATTGGGCAATTGGAAATTAATTAATTATGTTTCAGTTCGACATTACAGATATAAGTGATAAACATTACTGAGAGTGTCTAAATATAGGATTTGTGGAAGATTTAACGCAGATAAGTTCAGTTTTTCATCTTAAAAATCTAAACATACCTTTGATCATTATTAACCCATTTATGCCTAATGTACTATGAATAGTACAGCCTAAACTTGTTTGTTCCTGTAGATATCTGTACGATTTGGTTAAACTGAATAGCGGAGACAGTTTGCGGGTGGATCTCGTACAGTACCGAGTAATTTTGCGTATTGTGCAATATTTTGTTTGTGAAACCAGTTTTTGTATATTGGAAAATAGAAAATGAATGAATATGGCGTGCGCTTTGCAAAGTAAGTAGGCTGTTTATGTCATAAAAAAACTAGTTTGTTTTTATGAAAATATTATTTCCTTAGTTGCGGCTTCTAGATTTTATGATTTTATGATGTGTTTCATTTATGCTTTGTTTGTGAGGTTATGATAAAGTTAGGTGTACTATATTTAGTGCATCAGGAAAAAACGGGTCTACGAATATTTTCATACTCAAAACAAAAATAAAATGGTTTTAGGTACATTTTTTTTGAATAAGTAATCATTTTGAGTAGGAACATTTGTTTCAGGGGTTTTTCTTTGCATGAGGCGCTAGCAATGATAGAAGATGACGACATTGAAGCTGAGTCTATCACTTTGTTACCTACCACTAATGATTATGATGATGATTATTTCCTTAGTTTCGGCTTCTAGATTTTATGATTTCATGATGTGTTTCATTTATGCTTTGTTTGTGAGGTTATGATAAAGTTAGGTGTACTATATTTAGTACATCAGGAAAAAAGGGGTCTACGAATATTTTCATAGTCAAAACAAGAATAAAATGGTTTTATTTAAATTATTTTTGAATAAGTAATTATTTTGAGTAGGAACATTTGTTTCAGGGGTTTTTCTTTGCATGAGGCGCTAGCAATGATAGAAGATGACGACATTGAAGCTGAGTCTATCACTTTGTTACCTACCACTAATGCATGCGATAACATAACCGACGAGGATTCTGGAGAAAGACTGGATATCAACAACTTGCCAGGAAGCTTAACGCAAGCTGAGGTCGAAATAAATAAGAATCAAAACGAGGATATGTGGAGTTCAGAAGATGAAATACCACTCAGTGAAATCAGGGGTAATAATCGGAAGGAAGTGAAAAAGAAGAAAACATATAATTACGTAACAGAAGATTTGCCAAGAAATGAGTATGCGTTTCCAATAAACAACGAAAATCGAAATGAACAAGAGCAGTCCCCAACCGAGATATTTTTTAGTTTTTTTGATGACGAAATTTTGAACATAATAGTTGAGGAGACAAATCGGTATGCTCAACAGAAAAACAGGAATATTATGGTTACCAAATCTGGAATCAAATGTTTTCTAGGCATATTATTGTTGAGTGGCTACAGTAGTGTATCTCGCAGAAGGATGTATTGGGAAAAATCCAGTGATTCGCACAACTCACTTGTTTCTGAAGCTATTTCTCGCGATAAATTTGAATTTATAATGTGTCACATTCACTTCCTAAACAATGAAGCTCTGGATGCAAATGATAAATTTGCTAAACTAAGGCGTCTTTTCAATCACCTAAATAAACAATTTTTGGAATACGCAGTACCAGAAGAGCATCATAGTATTGATGAGGCAATAGTTCCATACAACGGGCGACATGGTTGTAAACAGTATATCCACGGGAAACGAATACGTTATGGGTTCAAATTTTGGGTTGGCGCTACTACTCTTGGTTACATCTTATGGTTTGAACCTTATCAGGGTGCTTCGACGTATGTGAACGCGGCTTACAAATCTTTAGGTGTTGGCGCATCAGTTGTATTGAGCTATGCTGATAGGCTAAAAAGCAAATGGTTTCATTTTGTATTTTATAATTTTTTTTCTTCGCCAGCTTTGTTTGAAAGCTTGACTGAAAAAGGCATATGTGGTACAGGAACAATTCGTGAAAATCGTATACTCATGTCTTCTTTGAAAAATTCAAAACTTATGAAAAAGGAACAACGTGGAGTGTCTGATTATTAAAAAAGTTTGTGTATGTAGATCAGCCCCAAGTTGTCAACTGTATAATAAATGTATGGGCGGGGTGGATAGGTCTAGCTCAATACATAGTACAAATCCGTGTCAAAAAATGGTATTTCTGGTTGATCTCTCAATGTGTAGATATCGCACTGACAAACGCCTGGCATATTTATAAAAAGAGAGAAAATAACATGGATCAATTACAATTTAGAAGAAGTGTAGCTACAACTATCTTGACACAAAATAAGAAGACTTATACGTACCAGCAAGGTAAATCAAGAAATTTTGGTGATCGCTTAGATCATTTAGTCATTCCACAAGGCAAACAAAGAAGGTGTGCACACTGTCATGAGCGCACGAGTACTAGATGTAGAAAATGTGATGTCGGCCTTCACATGAAATGTTTTGTTCAATATCATACTCTTTAAAATTTGCAATATTGATATGTTTCAAAATATTTGTACTATTTTCAATATTTTTTAACTATTATTCTTATAGCTACCTTTATTCCTAATGTACTATGTAAAGTACATCCTAAAAAACTAACTGTTTATGTATTTTTTTTAGAATAAATTGAAAATACCTCCAAAGTGTCGTCTTTTAATAAGGTTTTTTAAAAAATAACAAAAAAAAACTTTTTTGCAACTCTTTATGCATAAATGGGTTAACCTCGGGGGTAAAAAATGAGGTCCAAGCCTAAGACTCTTAAAAACACTTCAAATAATTACGATCATTATTACTCACGCATTACTTTAAGTAAGTTATGTCAGTGAGATTTGTTTAAGTAGCAACTGTTTCTTCTTTCATGTCACTCTTAAAACATTCCTGTTATAAATTATTACGATATGCGATTATTTTATTTTGTTTTATCGAAATTCAAGAGATGACTTCGTCTAATGTTAATTGCTTGAGTAGTTTGGTGGTTTTATTGTTTTATTATGTTATTGTCCCAGGGACATGCAATAAAGTGCTCGTAAACGAAGCGAGATATGACAGAAACGTAGGAGACAAAAAAATTGTATTTTTAGTTGCTGAATTCGAAAAAAATAGAAAAACTGTCAGTGACACAATATTTTTGTCAAGGATATTGGTTAGAGTGTTTTCCGTTAATACCACTCCTAAATTTAAACAAAATCCACTGAAAGTTTATTTAAGATACTTAGGAAAAACCATTTAATAAAAAAAGTTTGACACCCTGTATCTTGAGAATGAAGTATTTCTAGACCTATCCTTATATGAAATTTTGATCTTAAAATTACTCAAAGAATCACCTTCTGAAGTTTGGCCACGTAGTTAAATAGCACCCTGTAAATGGAGAAATTTGTTTCATTCTAGATCCCCTATCACGCCCTATAAGGAATGCGGCGAATTACGATCTGGACTCTGTTAAGGTGAAGTAAACAAATAGTGTGAATAGACTATGTGTTTGTAAGATATATATAATAATTTATTATAACAAAATAAAATAAAAATGCATGGCCATAACATATGTCACTTAGGTAAACCATAACATTCATGAGAACAATACAATCTGTCATTCCTTAGCAGCAGTTTTTTACCCATTAGTGGTTTCTTGCAAACCATACAGGCAAAACACTCGTCGGTCGCATGAAAATGTGTTCCATTCAAGCTGCATCCAAACTCATCGGGTTTGATGACATTGAGACACCCACTGCATTTATTTGCTTTACTTTGTTCAAAACAAGGGAGGCAGTAAGGCATTCCATCTTCCAAGGTGTACTGTCTGTTTGCTAAAGGGATGTCACATTCAATGCAACAGAAATGTTTTAAGTGGAAAGTTGCATTCTCTGCCAAGGTATACTCCTTGGTAAAAATAAGCTCATCACAGGCCTTACACCTTGGGACACCTCTAACTTTGGCATAATCTCTCCCACAATAAATATTATCAGTCTCCTTGTGGTAAAAATACATGTTATCGACAAGCATTTGATTGCAGCCAGCACACTTAAAACACTTCGCATGAAAAAGTACATCTGCTCTATCAATAGTCACAGCAAATTCATTTTCCTCAAAGGGCTTTCTGCAATAACGACAATCCGGCAGTTTTATATTATTCAAAATTTCCTTAATGCTATCTGGACTATAATCCTCATAAACGTCGTCGGTACCTCGTACAGCTACTTCAATTTCAGGATATTCAACATCAATATCTTGAATTGGCCCTATTTTAACATCAGAAGGATAAACACAGTCTTCGTGAATTCCTGAACTACTAGGAATCATGTTGGAAAGTTTCTTTGGAGATTTAATATTACCCATTTTGGTTCCAGTATCTTCTGCAGTGACATTTCGATCTGTCAGTAACGTAAAAGACCTTGCATTCGCTTTACTAACAATTTCTTTAATCAAATTTTGATTTGCAAAATAAGGATCACTAGGATTTTCATAATCGCATATGGGGTTGACATTTTTGTTGATTAATTCATTCGGATCTAGGTTAGTTTGCTCATATGTACTAAAAGCAAGGTCCTTAATGCTTTTAGGAATTGCAATAGGCATCTGCGTCTCAGACTGTATGACATGCTTCCCAGTAACATAATGTATACCAGGTCTACCAGGTTCTTTTTGGGTATGTGAAACAGATAGCTGGTCAGAAGCCACATTGGCATTTCCATGTAGTTTCTGTTCAGATCGGTTTGAATTACATCCTGCATCTACAGGTACTTTTTGTTCAACAGGTTGACCCTGTTTCACACCCTCGTTCCTGTGCCTCTGTCCAGCATGCGGGTTGCCAGATCCAGCACAACATTCACTATATGGTAGAAACGCAGACGCAGAACCACGCCTATGGATCATGCCAATTGATTGCGGCTGACTGATGAGCTCAGGACTACATTCCTTGCGAATATGGGGAATTGTTCTGTTCAAACTCTGACTAAGATCTGCTCGAATAGGGTGAAGTTGTTCACTCTGTGAGGCTAATCCATAATCTTTTTCAATTACAAACTGAGTTGGAACTGACTTATGGTTAAAGTTGGGACTACGAGGATACCTATTATTTGTATTTGGATCAACGTTCGACCTCATGCCATTCTCTTCATCAAAATTTTTGCGGGGTTTAAGATCTGATGAATATTGAGCTGAAGGATGGTTCAGCTGTATGTCATTCGTACGTAAAGAGTGCATTCGATCATGAATTTTACTATGCAAACTCATTTTTTGCAAATCAGGTACCAAGCCTTTCGCTTCATCTTGTACATGAAGTTGGACATCTGACAATGCGATCCCTTTTGGGAATCTACAGGATATGAGGGCTGCTTCAGATGGGTTCAGCATATGCAGATTACCTAAAACAACAACAATTAATTTAGAAAGAATTCAGGAAAGTATTTGGCAAATGGACTTAGAGGCCTATTTATAGTAGACCCTTGATGGCTAAATGCCGTTTGAGGATCGAATACCCTTCGACTTTAAACGAACAATAGGGCACCTTTGAAGTACCTTCAAGAGGAGATTTAAAATTTGCATTTAAAAGTTGGCTGTAACAGTTGTAGTCTCAAGTTGTAATCGACGACACAAAGATTTTTCTTTGTTAGCGATAGCTATTGGAAATTTTGACGTTACATTTTGGAAGGCCTAATGTAATATCTGAAACTTATCCTGTGGTTTTCCTGCTGATAATCATCCACGTTAGTCTGGTCGCTAAATGAAAGCACATATGTTGATGTTACACAAGCGAGCATGAGGTTATCTGTATTTTTTAATTCTATGTTTGGTCACAAAAAACGAGAGATATGCTCGCTTGTGGCTTTCAATGGTTGGACGTCCTTTAGGAGTGGGAATGCCTACCCTAGGCGGTCCTGGGCTTTGCTGGTATTACGCAGTGCCATTTTAAAATAGCAAGTATCTAGAAGTCAGATTCAAGTGTTTTATGAAATTTTTTTATTGCTATCGGTATATTTCTAGAACTATATCACGTAAAGGTTTTTAAAATATTGAACTAAAATTTTCCAATCCTCAGAAAATACACATAAATATAAGTATAACCAATAATCAAGTGAGTCAAAAATCTTTCTAAAGCATGTACCGAGACGCACAGGCTCTAGGAGCGAGGAGAAAGTGAGGAATGTCGCCTCACTTTGACAGATGAGACGCATTGACATGTGAGGTGACTTGAGGCGAGGTGAAATTAGCGATCAAAAGAAAGCCAACTGGGATCAGCCTTCTATGGGCTAAACTGCAATAGCGTTTTTCTTCTTCTTGTTCTTTTGGTGCACATTTTGAACTTTGACTAATTGTAAAAACAAACACGGTCTGAAGCAATTCATGCTGGTGTTGTCAACTGTCAACAGCTTTGATTTCTAGCTTTGAATGCAGCCGTTCTGTTGCATCGTTTTCTCGTGATTTTCTTTTTTCTTTTTAGAAAATTCACCATAACAACATGGAAAAGCACAAAGAAATAAATAGTATTTTCCATTAACAGATGGCTGCACGAGACATGCCATGACAGTTGTTCAAAGTTCTTTTACGAGCAAATTTAGGATCAACCGGATGAACGAAGATAGTAGAAGGAAACGCTATATCTCTGAGTCACAGAAGCAAACCCATGCTATCGATTGTCGCATCACTAGTGCGCTGAAATGCTAATTGCCCGTTGTTCAATTGCATAAAATAGCGATATGTTTTCTAGTTCGTTTCGGTGAACTAGTTCAATAAATCGCGTTCACTGAAACGAACTAGTTCTAGGAACTAGTCCTGTACAAACCACTTTACGTGACACCACATAATGCATTATCATGCCACCGAAAACCTATACACCTTCGGAAAAACCATTATTATACATTATGATGAGGAAGAGAGATGGAAATATACAAAAGTATGTAGGTGCGTGAAAGACACTCGATTGTAGGATCCTATCTGGCAGCGTCGGAGTGTAACGGACAACGGGATAAAGTAGAAGAGTGATAAAAGAGAGATGGCAGAACGGGCGCTGGCGCCTGCCGCTTAGACGGATGCGCTCAACAAATGCGATTTGTTTCTCCCATTCGCAGAGTTGCCGATAACAATATGTCATATTTCTAAGAAATCTAAGTCTACCCAAATTTCGGGAAAAATAGCTGCGGATTCCACATAAGAGTATTCCAAAAATGAAAAAAGTTCAAACTATTAAAATTGTATTAATGTTTCATGGTTCAAATCATATTTTTCATGTTTGTATATTGTTGTATAAATGATTTTGCAATCCCTATTCTTGTTGCCAGTAGAGATACAACAGTATTGAGAGAAATCATGGACCGCTAGATAGGGCTACAACTACCATATGACTATCAAATAGTAGTGATAAACAGGGTTTGTTGCCTGGTGTGGCGAATTTGCGCCATAGGGGCGATTTGACAACTTTGAAGGACAACTATAACGGGTACTATGGTGCCCGGTATTCGGGAATCTGGCAATACCTGATGATTCCTAACGTTTATTACGCCAGATTGTTTGCTGACTTGCGCAGTACAACATGACAATCAACGTGACTGAGCACCTGGTAACCCTGGTTTAAGGTGTTATATTTAAAGAGCTTGGGGCAGTTAGGTATCTAGGTCACATTTTTTAATGTATTTCGAGAAATCCGTAATGTTCAGATCACGTTTCTTGCTTAGTTTGCTGAAAATTCTACAATAGACGTACATTTTGAGAAACAGATTTGGTGACGACAAAATCGTAAAAATATAACGCATTTTCGTAAAATAATTTCTTTGTTGAAAAGACTGTGGCTTGATGACCCATTGAACGAGTAGTGTCCCGCTCCGCTTTGAATATTCGAAACACTATACTCCAGCAGCATTCCGCTTGAATGTTATCTTTATGAAGTTCTAACGTCTAGGCCATGCTGATTAAAAGCTTGAATGAATCAACACTTAACTCTAAATTCCCCACAATTCGGGAAGCTCTACTCAAATTGGCAACACAGCGTATCTGCCTATTATCCTCATTCGTGATACAGGTCTGCGGTCTGCTGCAAATTTCAGTATGCGTTGAGTCGACAGAAGAAGTACAGTAGATGCGCGCATTACGCACCAGTTCGATTGGACGTCCTCTGAACCGATTTCGGTGATTTCGAGATTTCACGAAATCACCTAAATCACTCTACTTATTTTTATGAATGGATAATTGGTTTTGTAGCAATAAAGGTTGCGTCTCATAATCAAAACAAGAAGATACCCACTCTAACAAAAATAGTACACTCTTAAAAATGTGTAACGAAAATAAAAAGATATTCTAACAAAAAAATAAGTCCTCAAAAATAAAACGCAATAATGAACACAAACGTTTCAAATGGTCCTTCACAGCTGGGGCTCAAAAACGTCTCCTTCATTCAATGAACAGTATGTCAGGCGGTTATAAAACTCCTGACGAACTCTCAAGAGGGTAGAAGGCTGTATTTGCCCGAGCGCTTCAACGATTTTCACCTGTAGGTTATGCAAATTGTCTGCTCTCTCATAGAAAGTGTAAACAGTACTTTTCACATAACCCCACAAGAAAAAATCATTGGACGCTAGATCGGGTGATCTAGGAGGCCATTTTATTGTTCCGTTACCGCCAATAATCCGGTGGCCGAACACACTTTCAAGGTAAGTGTGTACGATCGCCGCATTATGCGCCGGGCATCCATCTTGTTGGAACCAAATATTAGCGAGATCAATGCCAAGCTGCCCAATTGCAGGAGCAATCTGCGTCTGTAGTAACGCCAAATATTTTGCAGCCGTAAGCGTTCCATCAATAAAGAACGGTCCGGTAATGTTATTACCTAGAATTCCTGCCCACACATTCAGTTTCTGTGGATACTGCGTGCGGACGGGAATACTGAGGTGTTTATTTTCCCGAGACCAATACCGAACGACTGAAGGATTGTGATTGACCGTGGAGAGGGAATGTGGATTCATCAGTAAACAAAATGCTACCAATAAAACTTCCATCCCTGTTCGCCTTCTCCATGACCGTTTCACAAAACTCCATTCGACGGTATTTGTCTAAAGGAAATATTTCTTGAACTGTTCCAACCTTGAAGCTATGATAGCCGTTGCGATGCAAAATATTTCTTGTTGTTCTGGGTGTGAGATCGGCTATTGGTACCATTTCAGCAATTTTTCTGCTTGAGCATGGCTCAGATACTTCTGCAGCGGCACAAACAGCAGTTTCGATCTCCTCCCTTTTCTCGCTAATTTTTGGTTTCCAACCTTCAGGGTGCTATGGCACTTATGTAAGCAGCCCACCCTCTTGAATTTTTCGTAGGTATTTATAACCGTTGCGTGAGACGGAATTGGCCGATCTGGGAAGCGTACCGCAAATAATTCAACAACCGCGCGTGCTGAATTATTCTGGATGTACGATTCTATCATTTGAAACTTTTCTTCTTGCGAGTACATTTCTAAGATATTTTGGATTAAATAAAGACGCACCTTTCCTACACAAAACCCAACCGCATAGTGAGTCATGAATCCCTTATCGCACTTGACGACGGCACGCGCGTTAACGGTAGGAAATATGTACGAATAGCGATGAAAGTAGACGAAATGATTTCCCATGTATATCAATGGTTTTTCCTAAGGTGTATGTAAAAAAACGACAAAATGTCATCTTGCTGATTAGATGCTAGTGTGCAAATATGTTTTATTGATTGAGTAGCAAGGTCGCATCTAAGAACGAAAAAGCTCTTCGTATAAGATTTTTAGGTATTTAAGACCTACAAAATGAGACACGTAAAAAGATCTGACTAATAGCAAAAAAGTTAGAGCCGAAAACCGAGGTTCATACTTCTAAATAACCACAACAAAATTGGAGTACATTGGTCAAGTAGGTTTTGAGAATTTCTAATTGTTTATCCTAAATCACCTGCTTTCCGGCCATCACTACTAGTTTATTGAACGATATACCAGGGTTAGTTCAAAGGGCATCTTATATCAAAATACATTAGTTTACCTTGCCGATATGAATCGAAAACCATCCTGGTAGATAAATGTCATTTTTTGCAAAAAAGGATGGGTTACGTTTTTTCGTCTAAACAAATTCAAACATTTCGTTTTTCTGAGTAAGTCGCAACAAAAGATGATAGACACATCCGCTTTGTTTTTAAATGTGTATAGCAACCTATGTTTTTCGAATATCGTAACGCATTTGTTCAATTACTCACAAATACGAAATGTTTGAATTTGTTGTAGGTCATTGTAGGTCTCATAAATACCTAAAAATCTTATTTCGATTGAATCCCAAAAATCACGTTTTCTCATTTTTTGTTGTCCAATAAACAGTTTTCCCACAAACATCGGTGCACCCATTTTATGCGTCCATGTTT